GAACTACCTTTCTTGCCCCCCTTGCCGCGGGACCGCGACGCAGTCGTAACAGCAGCCGCAGTCGCGTCAGTAGCGGCAGTGGCGAGAGAGGCAGTGAAGGTGGGTAACTGCGGGACTGTGCACCCGTGGAAGAGTGGGGGGGACACAGTACCAGAGGCGGCAGCTACCGAGCGAAGGTTGCTCTCGACGTCCTTGAGTGCAGACTCAAGGACCTCGATAGTCAGCTCACTAGGGTGCTTCAGCAGAAGCGCGTCACGAACGGAGGCTAGGCGGTCAGGGAGGCTAGTGGCGATGAAATAGACAGTAATCGCCATGGGGGGAGGAAGCAGTGCAAGCTGTGCCTCAGTGCAAGCAGCGCGGTAACTAGCGTCGAGCGAGCGGAGGTGAGCGATCAAGTCAGCAGAGCGCTCAAACGAGGCGAGATCAGGAAACAGGAACGGGAGGAAAAGACGGCCAAGAGAGACCGTAGCGGGAGTAGAGTAGCGGGCCTTAATCGCAGTGAGGTACGCAGCAGCGGTGCGAACCTGAGTAAAGTGGACCTCCTCTGACTCAGGGAGGAGGCTGCTGAGTGCGATGCAGGCCGCAGCGTCACGCGACGTCCAAGCCGTCCGGTCAGCGCGCTGACGGGCAAAGCGAGCCGTAGCAGCGTCGTCAGGGGCAGAGCCTAAAGCTGTAGGCTCGGGGGGCTCGGGGAGGTCACCAGTAGCGTGCGACCAGAGGGTCTCGCCCCCCTGGACCTGACTCTCAAACAGACGGCGAGCGCGAAGAAGCCAGACGGAAAAGTCAAGTGGTCTACCGTCAGCGTCGAAACGAAGAACTCGCGGAGTCGCCATAGTGAGAACTAACGCGAACGAACAGGCGAGTAACAACCGGGGAGAAGAGGCAAATTAGGGTTCAGGTGGGAAGGGGACTCAGTCGCAGCGGAAGAGCGGGCTAGGGCGACGGGCCAGGGCGTAGGGTAGGGCGACGGGCTAGGGCGTAGGGTAGGGCGACGGGCCAGGGCGTAGGGTAGGGCGACGGGCCAGGGCGTAGGGTAGGGCGACGGGCCAGGGCGTAGGGTAGGGCGACGGGCCAGGGCGTAGGGTAGGGCGACGGGCCAGGGCGTAGGGTAGGGCGACGGGCCAGGGCGTAGGGTAGGGCGACGGGCCAGGGCGTAGGGTAGGGCAACGGGCCAGGGCGTAGGGACGGGACAGGGCGACGCGACGGGGCAGGGCGGCGCGATGGGGCAGGGTGACGGGACGGGGCAGGGCGACGCGACGGGGCAGGGCGACGCGACGGGGCAGGGTGACGGGACGGGGCAGGGCGACGCGACGGGGCAGGGCGACTGGACGGGGGGGAAAGGGCGGGCACGACGTGACGGGGGGAACGGGCGCGACGCGACGGGGGGAAAGAGCGCTAGGCGACGGGGGGAAAGGGCGCGACGCGACGGGGGGGGGGGGGGGGGGGGGGGGGAAAGGGCGCTAGGCGACGGGGAGAAAGGGCGCTAAGCGACGGGGGAGAGGGCGCTAGGCTCGGTACTAGGCGCGGTAACAACAGAACCGGTACGAACGAGAGGTAGGATCAGGCTCGGGAGGGACGAACGGAGAACGGAGGAACGGGATCCCACAGGATCCTAACCTAGCTGATACCATGTCAAAGTGAGGAATGATGATTCCATTGATGTTGGTTGGGGTACATATAACAAACCCTAACTTCTGTACCCCCTAAGACAAACCTCACTACAGGCTACAACATTTGACACCTTCCTGGAAGTTATTGATCGTGTCTGATCGAGGCAACCCGAGGAGAAACCGAGACACGTCCTCCTTAATACATTTCCCCCTTGCAACCACACCACATGCTCATGAGATTAACAGCTTGGAATTTGATTCAGACAAGGACATTATCAGGAAAACACCAAAAAGGATTCCCAGTAGCTATTTGTCAAAATGAGGAATGATGATGCCATTGATGTTGGTTGGGGTACATATGACAAACCCTAACTTCTGTACCCCCTAAGACAAACCTCACTACAGGCTACAACATTTGACACACCCCCATAGCCTAAGTGAGGGGTGTTAAGCAAAATAAAAAGAGTACGGTCACAAGACCAGTCCAAAAGAAAACAAAGCTCAGGGTGGATCACAACGTCACCACACTCTCTGAGCACAAGCAACAGTGGCCACAAGGCCAGTCCAAGAGATCACAAGTATATATAGCAAGAGTACAGACGAAGCAGGCAATAAACTCAAGCCTACACATGACTAGAACCTGTGTCAACAAGGCCTAACTGCACACAACACCTCTGGTGGTCACGAGGCGGAAGCGCCTTGGTGAAGATGTCTGCAGTGTTGGCCTCGGACTCCACAAACTCGAAGCGAGCCTGTCCACGTCTCTGCAACTCTCGCAGAAGAAAGTACCTGACGTGAATGTGCTTCACTCTGCTCTCCAGTCGCGGCTCACGACAGAGGAGGATCGACGCCTTGTTGTCAGTGAACAAGGTCGGTGCAGAGCTCGGCCGCTCACCAAGGTCGGCGAGCAAGAAGGTCAACCAACGCAACTCCTGTGCCGCCATGGCACCAGCGTAAATCTCAGCCTCAGCTGTAGAGGTCGAGACAGAAGAGGAGCGCGTGGAACGCCAGGAAACAGCTCCAGAACCCAGACTGAAACAGTACCCCTGAGTAGACCTGTGAGTCTCAGCGTCGTCAGCGTAAGAGGAGTCACAGTGACCAGTGAGTACGACAGACTGCTGCCCTCCAAGAACTAGCCCCACGCCTGATGTAGTCGCTAGGTACTTCGCCACCCTCACAGCTGCCGTCCAGTGAACAGGACGGTGTCTCCCTGGCGCAACAAAGCGCGCAAGGATGCTGAGAGGGAAGGCGAGGTCCGGGCGAGTACAAGTCATCAGGTACATGAGGCAACCCACAAGCTCTGCGTAGGGACCACTAGGCTCAAACGGCTCGTCAGGAAAGGGACCAGTGAGTCTGTGGTCAACAGCGAGAGGTGTGCGCTGTACGGTGGAGTGCTGAAGCCCGAACCGCTGAAGGACCTGCTGCACCATGTGTGACTGTGAGAGTGTAATGGTGCGAGCGGCTCTGTCCCTGGTGATCTGCAGGCCAAGGTAGTGGCGCAGCTCACCAAGATCAGTGCACGTGTGTCTCTTCTGCAGTTCGGACTTCACGTCTGCCAAAGCAACCCTGTCCGGAGTGGCGAAAACGAGGTCGTCGACGTAAACCAGAACAAAGAACGGTGTGGAGCCACGACGAACGAACAGCGACGGGTCGGCAGAAGACGGCTGGAACCCAAGGTCAGAGAGGGTAGAACGCAGAGTGTCGTGCCACTCACGAGGGGCCTGGCGAAGACCGTAAACAGGTCGCCTCAGCCTCCACTGGGTCCCAGGAGGGAAGGTGCCAGTGAAGGCCGAGGGACGACGCAACCAGACCTCCTCGTGTAGGCTGCCCTGAAGGAAAGCAGTGGAGAAGTCGAGAGAGTGTAACTCGTAGTCTCTCTGTGCTGCTACGTGTAGTAACACCCGAAGAGTGGTCATCTTCGGGGTAGGTGCGAAGGTCTGAAAGAAGTCAACTCCCTCGCGCTGACTGAAACCTCTAGCCACGTAGCGCGCCTTGAAGACCGGGGGAGATCCCGGTGGCCGCTTCACCCTGTAGATCCACATGCCGTCGACTACGTTCGCCCCAGGGGGGGGAACCTCATCGACATAGGTGCCTGTGGATCTGTAGGAGGCCATCTCTGCGTCCATGGCAGCTCTCCACTGAGAGGCCCAAGGCCCTGACACTGCCTCAGCGTAAGTGCGAGGAGTCGGAATGTCAAGGGCGTCGGGGTCACCCTCAGGGGCGAGGAGCATGGCACAGAGATGAGGGGAAGCGGCCGCCAGGAACTCTAGCTCAAACTGCCTGTCCTCTAGGGCGTCACAGCCAAGGGCAGACACACCCCCGACGGCCAGAGGACTGGTAGGAGGAGCAGCCACAAGCGTGGTGGCGTAGTCAAGGCGGCGGGTAGAGGCAAAGTCAGTAACTGCGGCAGTAAGAGCGGACACAGAGGACACAGAGGCACGAGGGTGAGTAACAAGAGAGGCGAGAACACGAGAGAGAACAGGACGGTACGTGCGGTAGTAGTCAGTGACAGGAGTAGGGAGCGACACAGTGAGGGCCGACTCAGGAGGAGACGGAAGCACAGACTGAGACGGACGAGGTGGACTAGAAAGAAGGAAGGCAATACGAAGGTCAGTGAAGGGAACAGGAGACGAGGGACGAGCACGAGGGGAGCGACGAGTAGCCCAAGAACGAGACGGAGGAGGAGAGGACAAAGGCGGAGAACTGGGGAAAACAGCGGGGGAGGAGTCAGGAGGAGGAAACGTGGGACCGTAGACAAGAGGAGAGGCGGAGGAGGGAGGAGAAGGGGAGGGGAGACCAAGGGTCCGAAGACCCGAGACAGGAGGAGGAAGTGGCTGCTGCTGCTGCTGCTGCGACTGCTGCTGCTGCGGAAGCGGCTGCTGCTGGGACTGCTGCTCCTGCGGGTCCAGCTGCTGCTGCTGCTGCTGCTGCTCCTGCGGCTCCAGCTGCTGCTGCTGCTCCTCCAGCCGCTGTAACTCCCTCTCCTCTCTCTCCAACGCCAGCTGCTCGTCACGGGCACGGCGAACACGAGCCTGGTGCCTAGTCGGGTAGGGGTGGGGGGGCGGAGTAGTGTCCGAAGCAGCGGTAGCTCCAGAGTCCACCCCCGAAGAACCAGGCGCACCACCCCCAGAGGCAGCACCAACACCAGCTCCAGACCCAGGCTCACCAGAACCCGAAGGAGGCGCACTCTCACCCCCAGTGTCCGCGCCACCAGCACCAGCTCCCGGACGACAAGAGTCCTCTGCACCCACCGGGTCAGCTCCAACTCCAGAACCAGAAACTCCAGCTCCAACTCCAGCTCCAACTCCAGCTCCAACTCCAGCTCCAACTCCACCACCCCCAGAACCAGAAACCGGTACAGGAACAGGCGCAGTACCAACCTCTCGAGAGCTAGCACCTGCGGCATGCTGCGAGGAGGACTGTGGGGAGGGAGGCTGTACCGGAGAGGCTACCGAAGGAGGAGGGGTAGCCTGGGACACACCCGACGGGGCTGGACCAGGGGGGGGAGGCTGTACCGGGGGAACTGGAGGGGGAGCGGCAGTCAGGAAGAGGGGGGGAGGAGGAACCTGGAGACCTCGACTGGGGTACCTGACGTAGTACGGAGTGGACTCCTCGAAACGGACGTCACGGGAGTCAAAGAACCGGTGAGAGGGAGGGTGGTAAAAGGTGAAGTCAGAGGAGTCCTCAGGGAAACCAAGGAAGACACAGGGGACGGCACGAGGCGAGAGCTTGTCCGCGGAGGTGTCGCGGACAAGAGCCAAGCACCCCCAGACACGAAACCGCGACGCAACACCAGGGGACCCTGTCCAAAGACTGGTCGGTGAAACCTCTGGTCGAGAGACACGTGGCCAGAGGTTCAGCTGGTGCGCGGCGTACCTGACCGCGTAGGGCCACAGAAAATGGGGGGCACAGGCGTGAGTCAGGGAGGTGCGGGCGATCTCCATGACCAGGCCTATGCGGCGCTCAGCAACCCCATTCTGCTGTGGGGACTCTGGAAGCGTCCAGGACTGACGAATGCCCTGCTCGCGACAGAATCCAGCGAGAATGCCGGAGCGAAACTCACCCCCACGGACGGAGTGGAGGCAGCTGACACGACGACCACGAGTGTCCTCGGTGGTGAGCAACCACCTGATCAGCGTAGAAGTCACCTCAGACTTCTTCGCCAGAGGGAACACTGTGGTGTAGCGGGAGAAGTCGTCAACGACCACCAGAAAGTAGCGCTCACGCTCAGGGCCTAGACGAGGGGCGGGGCCCCAGACGTCCAAGTGAAGCGTCTCAAAAGGCTCGGTGGCCGGACGAAGGGAGGAGGAGTGAGGGGCGGCGCGCAGCCGACCCTCGACGCAGGGACCACACGGCGGCGCAAGCGAAGGCGGCAGCGACGGCAAGACACGTGGGAGGCCTAGGACAAGACGCTGACTAGACATAGCGCGCAGACGAGGAAGGGACGGGTGCCCCATCCGGTGGTGCCACAGAACGGTGGGGTGGGCAAGCGACCGGCAGGAGCACGACGCAGCGACTGGAGCAGACGTAGGAACCTGACACGACACAGACACCTGGGGGGACGAAGCAACCTGGTGAGACGCGGGGACCCGAACGGGGGGGGGAACCGGGGGCAGTGGCAGTAGGGGCGGCTGCTGGTGCGACCGCTGGTGCAGCTGCTGCTGCTGCTGCGGCTGCGGCTGCTGCTGCTGCTGCGGCTGCTGCTGCGGCGCACGCGGGCCAGTGTGAAGAGTGTAGAGACCTGAGCCCGGCTCAGCAGTAAAGGTAGCAAGAGGCTGGTAAGAGTCTCCGTCAACACACACCGCAGTCTCTCCAGAAGGCTCAAACCACACACCCACGTGCTGACTCACGAGGGGTCGCACGCCCACCAAGTTCCGGGAGAACGAGGGGACGTGAAACCCAGTGAGAGACCCGGAGGGAGCAGCAGGACACGGTAAAGTGGTAGTGTGACGTGCAGTGACTGGTCCCGTAGTGGGATCAGCCAAAGCCACAGAAACAGGCGCAGGAAGTGGTGTAAGTGTCGTGCTGTCCCGGAAGAAGCAGTGTGAGGCTCCAGAGTCCAGCGTGAACGACAGCGAAGCGTCCTCTGAGGTAGTCGCTGGTCTAGAGTCTACACAAGAACCTACACTAGCAACAGGCAACTGAGCAAGACTAGCACCTAAGCTAACAACACCAGAGTAAACAGAGTCAGAAACACTAGAGTCAACAACAGCATACATAGCATGAGGAGCACCAATCAGATCAACTAACTGCTCAGCAGACATGCCCCACAGAGCGGAGCCGTAGCGCTGAACCAGAGGAAGCCAGTCAAGAGCAGGACCGCCAACCCCGTAGGCCAACCGGACCGTGTCAGTGAGCTGAGCAAAGCACTGACCAGGGGGGTGAAAGCGGCCACAAGGGTGGCCCCGACGAGGACCTGTCAGAACCTGATAGTTGCAGGGAGGGTAAGAAGCACCGCGCTGGGGCTGACGCAGCCCCGACCCCGGAGCCAGCTGCTGACGCTGCTGCTGCTGAGGCTGGCGGGAGGAAAGGGGCTGCTGCTGCTGCTGAAGGTGCTGCTGACGCTGAGCCTGGTACCACGCCGCTGCTCCACCTAGCGGGGTCGGCAGTACAGGAGGCGACTGACGAGCTCGGGGGTCGCCGCCACCAGCAGGCGCAGTGGAGTCACCAGCCGCTGCACGAGGGGTCTCTCCAGACGCTGCACTCCCACCACCGCCAGTCGCAACAGCACCCCCACTACCTCCGCTACCTCCACCTCCACCTCCACCAGAACTACCTTTCTTGCCCCCCTTGCCGCGGGACCGCGACGCAGTCGTAACAGCAGCCGCAGTCGCGTCAGTAGCGGCAGTGGCGAGAGAGGCAGTGAAGGTGGGTAACTGCGGGACTGTGCACCCGTGGAAGAGTGGGGGGGACACAGTACCAGAGGCGGCAGCTACCGAGCGAAGGTTGCTCTCGACGTCCTTGAGTGCAGACTCAAGGACCTCGATAGTCAGCTCACTAGGGTGCTTCAGCAGAAGCGCGTCACGAACGGAGGCTAGGCGGTCAGGGAGGCTAGTGGCGATGAAATAGACAGTAATCGCCATGGGGGGAGGAAGCAGTGCAAGCTGTGCCTCAGTGCAAGCAGCGCGGTAACTAGCGTCGAGCGAGCGGAGGTGAGCGATCAAGTCAGCAGAGCGCTCAAACGAGGCGAGATCAGGAAACAGGAACGGGAGGAAAAGACGGCCAAGAGAGACAGTAGCGGGAGTAGAGTAGCGGGCCTTAATCGCAGTGAGGTACGCAGCAGCGGTGCGAACCTGAGTAAAGTGGACCTCCTCTGACTCAGGGAGGAGGCTGCTGAGTGCGATGCAGGCCGCAGCGTCACGCGACGTCCAAGCCGTCCGGTCAGCGCGCTGACGGGCAAAGCGAGCCGTAGCAGCGTCGTCAGGGGCAGAGCCTAAAGCTGTAGGCTCGGGGGGCTCGGGGAGGTCACCAGTAGCGTGCGACCAGAGGGTCTCGCCCCCCTGGACCTGACTCTCTAACAGACGGCGAGCGCGAAGAAGCCAGACGGAAAAGTCAAGTGGTCTACCGTCAGCGTCGAAACGAAGAACTCGCGGAGTCGCCATAGTGAGAACTAACGCGAACGAACAGGCGAGTAACAACCGGGGAGAAGAGGCAAATTAGGGTTCAGGTGGGAAGGGGACTCAGTCGCAGCGGAAGAGCGGGCTAGGGCGACGGGCCAGGGCGTAGGGTAGGGCGACGGGCTAGGGCGTAGGGTAGGGCGACGGGCCAGGGCGTAGGGTAGGGCGACGGGCCAGGGCGTAGGGTAGGGCGACGGGCCAGGGCGTAGGGTAGGGCGACGGGCCAGGGCGTAGGGTAGGGCGACGGGCCAGGGCGTAGGGTAGGGCGACGGGCCAGGGCGTAGGGTAGGGCGACGGGCCAGGGCGTAGGGACGGGACAGGGCGACGCGACGGGGCAGGGCGGCGCGATGGGGCAGGGTGACGGGACGGGGCAGGGCGACGCGACGGGGCAGGGCGACGCGATGGGGCAGGGTGACGGGACGGGGCAGGGCGACGCGACGGGGCGGGGCGACGGGACGGGGCAGGGCGACGCGACGGGACAGGGCGACGGGACGGGGGGGAAAGGGCGGGCACGACGTGACGGGGGGAACGGGCGCGACGCGACGGGGGGAAAGAGCGCTAGGCGACGGGGGGAAAGGGCGCGACGCGACGGGGGGGGGGGGGGGGGGGGGGGGGGGGGGGGAAGGGCGCTAGGCGACGGGGAGAAAGGGCGCTAAGCGACGGGGGAGAGGGCGCTAGGCTCGGTACTAGGCGCGGTAACAACGGAACCGGTACGAACGAGAGGTAGGATCAGGCTCGGGAGGGACGAACGGAGAACGGAGGAACGGGATCCCACAGGATCCTAACCTAGCTAATACCATGTCAAAATGAGGAATGATGATGCCATTGATGTTGGTTGGGGTACATATGACAAACCCTAACTTCTGTACCCCCTAAGACAAACCTCACTACAGGCTACAACATTTGACACTATTCTATCACCTAACCACCTCCCACCCATCAAAGTAGGTCTTTCCTTTGATTCCCCTAACAGCATTAATAACGGACTTGAACAATGAATAGGTTCTGAAAAAGGCAGTCAGGAGGAGGTACTGTCTCAAAGAAAGCTCCACTGACACTATATCAGCAGCAGCAGCCGCAGCAGGAACTGAAGCCGAAGGTTGCACATCGGATGAAATAGGGCGGTTGGCACGTGAACCTGATCGCACCGCTCTCAACACCTGCAACGCCTTCGACGGCTGCAATGGCTGCACTTGCAATGGCCGTTCCAGCTCCCGTACAGCCTCCTCATCCTCCAGTCCTCCCAATTTACCTTCCCTCATCTCACTTCCCCCAATCTCCATGCTTCCATCCCTCCTTTCTCCCTGATCGCCTTCCATACCTTTCATTCCCTTGGCTGCACCTATCAGCCCCTCAACTTTCCCAACCGCACACCTCTCCAACTCCCGACCTACACGGGAAATCTTTCTTAGCAACCCTTCCTCTCCTTCCACCGGAAACAGCTTCCCCAGACCTTTTCGCCTGGCCCGCTCCCTTGCGACTCGTAGCAAAACAGCCTCTTCGCCACCACTCCCTTCCTTCCTCTCCCTCCTGTCCTTTCCTCCTCCTCCTCCTGCTGCTCCTGCTCTTACTGCTGCTGCGGCTGCTGACAGTGCTATGTGTTCCGCTGCCGATTCTTCTACCCCCAGGCTTGTTCTTTGAGGAGTAGAGGTGGAAAACAGTGCGGTGGGCTGAGGTACAGTGGGGTGGGGTACGATGGTGGAAGAGCCTGGGTGAGAGAAGACAGGGATGAGAATGGTGGTGGGTGGATAAACGGGGTGTGGAGGTGTGTAGTGCGGTGCTTGCAGCAATTGGGAGAGTGAGTCGCGCAGGGAGCGAGGTGAGGGAGACGGGAGAGGGAGAGTGGAGGTAAGTGGGTTGGTAGAGGAGGAGGAAGAGGAAGAGGAAGCGGAAGAGAAAGAGGACAAGGAGGTGGGTGGAGTGGTGGGAGCTGCTAGGGATTGGGACTTGTGAGCTGGGGACAGGGGAGGAATGGAGGATGCAGGTGATTCAGATTGAGCGGATTGAGATTGACATTGAGAATGCGGAAGGGGAAGGGGAGAGGATGGTAAGAGGCTGCCCGCAGAGCCTGCTGCTATTTCTGCTACTGCTGCAGCTGCTGCCATTACTGCATCAGGCGGGAACGATGGGACTGAGGAAGAGGAGCGGATGGAAGAGGAAGACAGGGAGGAGGAAGAGACGGGAGAGGAAGACTGGAAAGCAGGGGTTCTGCTCTCTTGCGAGGAGACGATGGGAGGGATGGCTTGTGACGGATCTGGCGAGGATGCTTGTAGTGAGGATACAGGGTTAGCAGCAGGCGTGGGGCGGGAGAGGAAGGGCAAATGCGCTGCCTCTACTGCTTGCGCTTGTGCATGTTCTGAAGGCAACAGCCTCGTCAGAAGTGTTGACCCAGGAGTTGAAGGGAGAGTGTGAGGAGAGAGGGAACTGGGACGTACGAAAGGAGGGGTTGGTGGTGTGGGAAGCGACGGAGGAGGAGAGGCAGGAGAGGAGGAAGATAAAGCAGTAGCAGTAGAAGCAGCAGCAGGAGCAGGAGCAGAAGCAGAAGCAGAAGCAGAAGTAGGAGTGGCACGAATGGCAGGCGTGGCCGGGATGGTGGCAGAAGCAGTGCAGCTCTCCTTGATATGCTGCAAAGTAACCACACGATTACCATTGTTGCTTCTGCTGCTGCCGCTGCTTCTGCCGCTGCCGCTGCTGCTGCTGCTGCTGCTGCTGCTGCTGCTGCTGCTGCTGCTGCTGCTGCTGCTGCTGCTGCTGCCGGTACCATTGTTCCGGGCAACCTTCTGCTTCGGTTGCAACTGAACCAATCTGGTCAAGAGCGAATCAAGAAAGGATTCCTTTCCTTCCCCTCCCCATCTCCCAGCGCTCCTTTCCTCTTCCTCCTTGCCCTCCTCCTTCCCCGCTCCCTTCCCCTTCTCCGTGGGAGGAAGAGGAGGAGGAGAGGCAAGCGGAGGAGCGGGAGGAAGAGAAACAGGTGGGCCGGTCTGCGAGCAGATGAGCTTGTGGTCCACTTTACCGCCATCGATGAACCGTAGCATGGCATGCACCTGCCACGTGCCCGTGTGACCGTATGGCAGGGTGGGTCCCAACACGACTGCGTCAAGTGGGTCACCTGGGGTTGTGTGAAAGATGGGAGTGGGGAAAGGGGAAAAGAGGCTATCGTTCCGCTAGTGCGCCTCCCCCCACGAGACGATGAACCGTAGCCTGGCATGCACCTGCCACGTGCCCGTGTGACCGTACGGCAGGGCGGGTCCCAACACGACAGCACCCAATGGGTCGCCTGCACGAGGGGTTGGGAGGGGAGAAGCGGAGGGGCAAGAGATGGGGAGAGGGAATGGGGGAAGGTAGGGGTGCCAGGATATGCACTTGCCACAGGCCCCTGTGGCCGCATGGCAGGGAGGGTCCCATCCCAACACCACTGCGTCATGCGGCTCTCCTGGAAGGGTAGTGGAGAGGGGAGATGGGACGGTGGGAAGACGGGCGGGATGAGAAGCGGCAGGCGATGGGCAGGGGGGATGGGGGCATATGGCATGTGCGGGACCCACAGAAGGGGGGCACGGCGCGTGAAGGGGGGCAGTGCGTGAAGGGGCACAGTTCGTGAAGGGGCACAGTACGTGAAGGGGCACGGTGCGTAAGGGGCACGGTGCGTAAGGGGCACGGTGCGTAAGGGGCACGGTGCGTAAGGGGCACGGCACCTGCGTATGCACGCTACACACAAACCCATCACCACCACGCAGGAGGCAACACGCTTACCATGCCGTACCGCACTGCACCGCACTGCACCATACCATCCAGGGCGCGGATAGAAGGCAGGGAGCCATAGTCGAAGGGGCAGGGCACGCAGCCAACGTAGTCAATGGCGCAGTCAGGGTGCAACATGCAGGCAACACACATACCGCTCATCACCGCACTGCTCTGCACCGTGCCACACTGTACCGTACTATACCGCACCGCACCGTACCGTCGAGACCGAGGATGGAGGGCACGGAGTCGTAGTTGAAGGGGCAGGGCACACAGCCAACGTAGTCAATGGCGCTGTCGGGGTGCAACATGCAGGCACCAGACAGACCTGTACCACACCGTAGTGCACCGTACCGCACTGTACCACGTCGTACCGTCCAGGGCGAGGATGGAGGGAACAGAGCCGTAGTTGAAGGGGCAGGGTACGCAGCCAACGTAGTCAATGGCGCCGTCAGGATGGCGCTTGACGAAGCTGCCCTTGGGTACCTCCACCACCACCTGCACGAAGCGAGGTACGAAGATCTGCGGAGAGGGGGGAGAAGGGAAACGATGGGCGGAGAAGGTACAGAGAGAGGGAATCAAGAAATTGCCGTGAGTGGAGAGGGAGAGGAGAGGCTTGACGAAGCTGCCCTTGGGCACCTCCACCACCACCTGCACGAAGCATGGCACGAAGATCTGAGGACGGGAGGAGGGGGAGGGGAAGGTAGAGAGCGAGGGGACCAAGAGGTTGCTGTGAGTCAAGGCGCTTGACGAAGCTGCCCTTGGGTACTTCCACCACCACCTGCACGAAGCGAGGTACAAAGAGGGTGCCAAGAGGAAAGGATAGTTGAGGGGCTTGACGAAGCTGCCCTTGGGCACCTTCACCACCACCTGCACGAAACGTGGTGCGAATATCTGGGGAATAAGGAGGAGGAGAGGGGGGCGAGAGGGGAAATGAGAAACCACAATGTTGCATTTACCACCCACCTGTACGAAGCGCGGTATGAAGATATGGAACGCGGGGAGAGAAGCAGGGGGAAGGAGGAAAGGGGAGACATGGGGGAGGAAAGGGGAGACATGGGGGAGGAAAGGGGAGACATGGGGGAGGGAAGGGGAGTGGAGGGGAGGTGCTGGGAGGGACGGAAAATGGAAGGGTGTTCCGAAAAGGCAGGCGAAACGGAAGGACCTGTGGCGCGGCGAGGCGGTGCGTTAGCGGAGCAACGAACCAGCATGGATTCTTCTAGAAAACACCATGCAACGTCCTTTCTCTCCCGAAAGTTTTTTTAGGCGCCGCTTTTCTTTCCGGAAAGAATGGACAGAGCTGTGAGAGGGAAACAGCTTACATGAACGATCTGCCGTTGTTTGCGGGGAGACGACGGCGGCGCGTCATTGGCGGAATCGAAGGTCCAATCAGAAGGCCAACCCGGGGACTTGGGGCTCTGTGACGTCACATCCAACGATTTGTCTCTGGACTTATTGCTAGAATTCTTAATGGATATCCCATTCCTCGCTAAGTTGGTCGCGGCTGACACGGAGGCGGCCGTTGCGACCGCAGTCGCCTGGGGGACGGATAAATTTGACCCCATAACAGGCTGGCCGTCGGATATTCAGGCACCTCGCAACTGGCTGGAGGTCAGGTATTTTAGCTGCTAAAACTGGAGGAACGGTGGCTGATTCAAGAATTAGACCGTTTGCCTTGGACGCCTAATTTCGGCCTAGAAAAATAAACGCTTCGAAGCAAGGTTCGGTACAAGAAAGACTATTGGTGAGCGGAACAGTGCTGCGAAAGTACGTAGTGTTTTGGCGACAGTCGCAACAGTCGCCGCCAAGTGCGGAGGGATAAGGAAAGGTGCATGGGGACGGGGTTTGGGAGACTGGGTTCGAGTTAGTACGCGCTTAAGTGAATGGATAGGGCGACAACTACACTTTCTTATACGACGATGATGAAATTATGATTAAGTTATTCAGTATTTCATGCAAGCTGCCATTTTTTGTGTGCAGCAATGACGTAGCTCTATTTGGCTCTTGCTCCCTCTGTTTCACCCTTGCTCCCTCTGTTTCACCCTTGCTCCCTCTGTTTCACTCTTGCTCCCTCTGTTTCACCCTTGCTCCCTCTGTTTCACCCTTGCTCCCTCTGTTTCACCCTTGCTCCCTCTGTTTCACTCTTGCTCCCTCTGTTTCACCCTTGCTCCCTCTGTTTCACCCTTGCTCCCTCTGTTTCACCCTTGCTCCCTCTGTTTCACCCTTGCTTCCTCTGTTTCACCCTTGCTCCCTCTGTTTCACCCTTGCTCCCTCTGTTTCACTCTTGCTCCCTCTGTTTCACCCTTGCTCCCTCTGTTTCACCCTTGCTCCCTCTGTTTCACCCTTGCTCCCTCTGTTTCACCCTTGCTCCCTCTGTTTCACCCTTGCTCCCTATGTTTCACCCTTGCTCCCTCCGTTTCACCCTTGCTCCCTCTGTTTGACTCTTGCTCCCTCTGTTTCACTCTTGCTCCCTCTGTTTCACCCTTGCTCCCTCTGTTTCACTCTTGCTCCCTCTGTTTCACCCTTGCTTCCTCTGTTTCACCCTTGCTCCCTCTGTTTCACCCTTGCTCCCTCTATTTCACCCTTGCTCCCCTCTGTTTCACCCTTGCTCCCTCGGTTTCACCCTTGCTCCCTCTGTTTCACCCTTGCTCCCTCTGTTTTGTTGGGCTGAAACGCCCTATGATCTTTAGTAGAGTTAAAGTCTGAGTAGGATAATGTAATAGCGGAAGCATTGAATAAAAGTCCTTGAACCACCTTGCGCTGGTATGTGAGGGCAAAGTAAAGTTGATTAAAACAAGCAAATATAAAGGTTTATATAAGAGTACAAGGAATACGAATAGGTATAATTAAACTGTTTTACTGTTGCGGTTCGATACAGTGCGACTCGGGCAACTGCTCAATGTCGAGTCAGTTGTATGTCCTTGCTGTCGCGCTGCATCTGTCAAGTCAAAAGGTCGCTGACCTTTGACCTTCGTGTAACCTCCAGCGGTTACTTTAACTTCCGATGGTTGACTCGCGATGCTTCGATTTGAGCTGCTTCGCTTGTGTCATGCGTTTCGACACGACAGAGGCGTTTAAGACTTGTTGTTCCCAACACTCCCCTTCGCTTCTGGAGTGTCGCTGATGGTGACGTGGCTTTGTCCGGTCAGCAGCATGCAGTACTCGAACTTCTGTTTTCCGAGCTTCTTGGTCAAGTAGTCGGCTGCCATCTTGGACGTGGGACAGTAGGATAGTTCGAGTTTCCCTTTCTCGATCTCGTCTTTCACGAAGAAATATCGCAGAGCGATATGCTTCGTTCTGTTCGCGAATCCGCTCTTGTTGGCAATGCGAATCGCAGATTGGTTGTCGCAGAACAGGGTGAAGTTGGGTAACTCGGCTAACTTTGCTTCTTCCAGCAGCGCGCGAAGATAGAGTCCTTCCTTGGTGGCTGAGCAGAGGGCGATATATTCTGCTTCAGATGAAGAGAGAGCGATTAGTTCCTCCTTGCTCGATTGCCAGGAGATGGGTCCGATAGGTTCTAGGCGATAGATGTAGCCAGTTCGGAAACGCCTGTTGTCTGAATCGCCGGCGTGATCGGCATCGACGTAGCCGATTAGTTTCGTGGACGTAGTTTTACTCTTGTAGTAAGTCATGCCGATCGTCGGGGTGCTCACGAAGTAGTGTAGTGCGCGGTCGAGCTCCGCCAGGTGCTCTGCTTCGGGTCTCTTGAGGTAGGTAGCGAGTTGACTTGCGGAGTAGGACAGATCTGGGCGGCAGGTGACGGCTGCGAAGAGGAGACAGCCCAGCTTCCTCTGGTAGTCGCGTATTCCGGCAGTTTTGAGTAGAGTAGGACTTCCCTTGTCGTTCCCTGTCGAGTAGCGGTATGGTGTGGAGATAGCGGTAGGTGTAAGCGAGAAGCGCTTGGCGATGGTGTCGGAATATTTTTCAGCGCTGAGGTAGATCGCGTTTTCTTCTTCGCGGATGTTGTGTCCGAGGTACTGAGTGACGGTAGAGGAAACCGTGAGCGTAAGGTCCCTCTGCAGCTCCCCTTCGAACCAGGTGGTAATGTCGTCGGTGGAGCCAATGTAGAGTAGGTCGTCGACGTAGACGATCAGCAGAATATAGTCGGCGTTTTTGGTGAATCGATACATCCCTTGGTCGTGAGGTAGTTGGCGGAATCCGATACGAGTGAGGCGAGTGTGTAGGTGCTGTTGCCACAGCCGCGGGGCTTGTTTGATTCCGTAGAGCGATTTCAGCAGCTGGCAAACCTGATTAGGTTTCCCGTGGGTACCGTGTGGGAGCTCGACGAAGATTTCGGCGTCGACGGGTGCGTAGAGGAATGCGTTGGCGACATCAATTTGTCGCAACTTCTTTTTCTTCATGGCGGCAATCGCGAGAAGAATTCGGAGAGAGGTATGTCGGCTAACCGGGGCATGAGAAGAATTGAACGAGAATGGGAATGACTATGAACGAAGTGAGTACAAATATGAAACCCTAATTGGGTTGTACCCCCTATGGGATACCCCACTATAGCCTACACAAATAAGTAAGCTATAATGTTCTGACACACCCCCATAGGCAAAGTGGGGGAGAACAAGGGGTCACAAGATCAGTCAAGCAAAGCAAAGCAAAGCTCAGGGTGGATCACAAAGTCACCACACATTCCGAGCACAAGTTCAAAGGCCAGAAGGCCAATTCACATGCAAGATCATATATAGAGATATACAAGAGTCAAGCAGGCAAGAACAAGAGTATATATAGGTGAAGGTACAAGCAAGGTGAAGAAGTGAGCAAGTGAGGCAAGGCAGGCACAAGACCCAGCTGCGTGCAGCAACGCTGATGATCACAAGGCGCAAGTGCCTTGGTGAAGACATCAGCAGTGTTGGCCTCAGAGGCCACGTACGCAAGCCGCAACTGTCCACGCTGCTGTAGCTCACGAGCAAGAAAGTAGCGAAGAGCAATGTGCTTTGTCCTGTGCTCCAGTCGCTGCTCTCGACACAAGGCCAGCATGGCCTTGTTGTCTACGTACAGGACTGGAGGAGAACGAGGCGGCTCTCCAAGGTCGGTCAGCAGGTAGGTGAGCCAGCGTAACTCCTGTGCAGCCATAGCCCCGGCGTAGATCTCAGCCTCACAACTGGAGCCGAGAACAGAGGACGAGCGGGTAGCCCGCCACGAAACAGAGCCGGAACCAAGGCTGAAGGTGTAACCCTGTGACGACCGCTGCGTAGCCTGGTCGTCAGCCCAAGAAGCGTCCGCGTGCCCAGTGAGGACCACTGGACTGCGCCCTCCAAGCACTAGCCCCATGCCCGACGTACTGCACAAGTAGCGCAACACCCTCTTCGCTGCAGCCATGTGCTCTGGTCGGTGTCTCCCAGGAGCAACATAGCGTGCGAGAATGCTAAGAGGGTATGCAAGGTCAGGTCGTGTGCAGGTCATCAGGTACATGAGGCAGCCAACAAGCTCTGCATACGGGCCACTCGACTCTACGGACTCATCCGAAGGCAGAGCTGAGAGTGAGTGGCGAGTAGGCAGAGGAGTGGCCTGAGGCGAGGAGTACGTGAAGCCGAAGCGCTGAAGGACCTGCTGCACCATGTGTGACTGAGTCAGGGTAATGGTGCGGCGTGCTCTGTCCCGGGTGATCCGCAAGCCAAGGTAGCTGCGCAGTTCACCCAGGTCAGTGCACGTGTGTCTCTTCTGCAGCTCGGACTTCACGTAGGCGAGTCCAGCAGTGTCAGCTGTGGCAAAGACGAAGTCGTCGACGTACACGAGGATGTAGAACGGCGGCAGAGAGGTGTCGGTGCGCAGAAACAGCGACGGGTCGGCAGTAGAAGGAGCAAACCCAAGTGCCGCCAGCGTAGTCCTCAGTGTGTCGTGTCACTCACGTGGCGCCTGGCGGAGACCGTAGACTGGACGCCGGAGACTCCACTGGGTACCACGAGGGAAAGACCAAGTGAAGCCAGGTGGGCGACGCAGCCA